TTTGTGTGACAGGCAATATATCATATGCGGACCCATTGCCAGTAGGAGTACAGCCCCATAGGCATACATTGCCTTTGCTCTTGTCTGTGTTGAATGTGTTGAGGGCTTAGATGGTAAAATTCTAAAGCTATACTACCCTGTCACAGCTAGGAATGCAAATAAAAGTATGGAAATGCTAGCAAATTATGATTCACTGTAACCAATTAATATCCTCTCTCTCATGGAAGTTATGACTTCGACTTAGTACAATCTCTAAGCTTAATGTAAAAAGTCAGGCCCATCCAGTGATGTCAAAATGCAATTTAAAATGTGAATGACTTCAAAGCAGAGGAGTTAAGTTAAATAAGCCTGCTACAGCACTTGCCAGCTCACTTGCATTAATGACACAGTAACATTTATTGTTCTAGAAGGTTTTGCCTCTTTTTTTTGCATTTGCTAAGGCACAAGGAGGATCTCGGGGTACCATAGCGCAAAAAGATATATAGGGGCCTTTAAACATTATCAGCAGTTCAAACCCTAAAGAAAAAAAAAAGAGTTACAGTAGCTGTCAACTTTGACAGTTTGCAGTTGTCTAATATGCAGTGGGTTCTTTAAAAAAAAAAGTAAACAAAGTCTAAAATTGGTTATCACTATTTAAAATTCTTCAAGTAGTTCACACAGCTGTTAACAAATGGATAAGGCATGTCTATTCTGAGCCAGATTCCTTGTTTCTATACAGTGCCTGATAGCTGATGTAACCCATTTTCTTATTAGTTACATTGACATAAATGTAGGGCTATAGTGAAGAAGTATTTAGAGAGCTTTGTCAGTGTCTGTGAGAGCAGGATTTGACATTTAACACATTAATGTATTGGAACAATAATAATAATAATAATAATAATAATAATAATAATAGCATTTTATTTAAAATGCAAGAACGAGTTGAAATTATATAGATAATTATCTCCATCTCAGTTACTTATATTTAATAGAACACAGGCTCAATTTGGACAGAAGAGTGACTGTATCAGGAGGTATCTGTATTCCTACAGGACAGTACAAAGCAAGCTGCTGTCAGCCTGGCAAAGGATAAACCCTTAATCTGAATATTTATTAGCATGAAGTATGGGAAGTACAGTTAGTGGCAGGGATTACTTACTAATTGTAATTTAGTTTAGTTGAAGAAATTATGCATTTTTTAAAAGGACACAATCTATTAAATTCATCTCTTAAGTATATTAAGCTTCTCCTCTCTCCTCTACTGTGGGATAAATCAGGAACAGCTCCATTGATGGTACTAGACTGCACTGGTGTAATTAGAAGGAAATCAGATCTGAGTTCTGTCAGGCATTCTGTAGATTTGAATTTTTTACAGCAAAATTACCCATCCATCAAATTTGTATTCAGACATTCAAATGAAAAACATTGGCCTCATGCTGTAGAGGAGGATCTTTTGCTGTGTCTCAGACATTAAAATCCACTGGAACTCGTGCACTATGCTCCACATTCCTGATTTTCTGGAATGTCGGGTTTGATTTTAATTTGTCACTAACTTTATTTTCCATTTTAAAAGTCTATATTCTGCACTCTGAGGGTAGAATCCTGTTTTATCTAGTGAACAGAGTTCATCTCAAGTTGCACTTTGGTTGTCAACCAGGTGCAATAGATTCTACTCTAAATGTTCAGTGAAATTTCTGTAGTTTTAAGTTTGCATTTTTATAGTGCAGAAAGCTTTCCTACTAGAAGATTAAAATACTAGTATAGTGTAACAGGGGGCAAGCTCAGCGGGGCCAGATCTCCTGCTGGCCCGCCCACCTTTTCTATGGGCAGTCTGCCCAGTCTCACCTCCCACAACTTTGTTGTTTCCATAAACTTTTGGTATAATGCGGGAGACTGCCCCAACGCCAGGGGGTGCTATCTGCAGCTCTGTTTCTCCCCTACACTGCAGCCCAAGTCTCGCAGATGGCATCCACATGTTGTAAACATATCCTGGCCCCTAACTGACCTCTCTCATTGGGCTCTGTGCCCGTCACTTATAATGGGCTCCATGCCCCACACACACACACAGTCAGTGCTCCTAGCCTCTGGGTTCCTTGCCTCTCACTAGGCTTTACTCCCCTTGCTAGGCTCCTTGCCCCTCATTTGCTCTGATCACCTTTCCCTCTTCTGGACTCCCTTGGGTCCTGCTGACTTCCTTGCCAGGTTACCCACTAGGATGTGGGGGCTGGGGTTAAGTTGCCCCAAACTGCCTTTCACTGGGGAGGTAACTGGCCTGGCATTTCAAGGAGGCTTTCACACCACTTGGAGCCCCACCAGGCCATCCATCCCTGGCAGGGTGCAGTTTTAGGTCATGCCCAGGACCAAGAGCCTCCTGTCCATCCCCTTAAGCTCTTGCCCTTACCTCCGGGGTTGTTCCTGCTGCAGCTCAGCTAGGCAATGTTTCTGCCTGGCTGGCAGCAACAGACTGCAGCCTTTATGTACTAGGTTCTTGAAATGGCTGCTGCCATCAGGCACCTGCTGGATGCCTGACCCAGCCCTTAAAGTGGCAGGCACCAACAGTGCCCTGCCACACATAGTAATTACTGAATGCAGCCAGCACAGAAGGATTTATACTGAACTGACCTGAGATTTGTACATAGACTTTCTGGGCACATATACAGTTGCGATTTACTGCAGAGTTAACCAATTAGCTTCTCAGTAAAGCATCACAGTCTACATGTGCACAGTAAACTAATTAAGTCCACTGTAAGATAGTACTGGCTGACAATTACTGTCCTACAGCAGAGTACTTACTTGCGCTCAAATGCACGTGTTGACTGTGTCTGGGGCTGGCTGGAGCACAAGGGTGTTAGAATGCTGGGGGTTGCCCCTCCTGCCCCAGCCTCACCCTCACCCCCACCCTTGACACCACCACCAGGCACCCAGGCCTAACCCTCTAGGTCAGCTGCTGCTCAGTGTTCTCTTATGTAGTTTGGAGATTACAGGAATTGAGAGGGTTTCATTTTTTAAGTGTGAGTTCAAAGAATGGCTGTATCTAGAAGTAAGGGTTTTTTGCTGTGTGGGAGGAGAGTAGGGACCTCTTTAGCTTAATAAGATGAAGTGCAGTTCCAAAGAGGATGGCACTAGACTGTTGTCAGTGTTAGCATACAACAGAACAAGGAGCAGTGGTTTCAAGTTGCAGCAAGGGAAGTTTAGGTTAGATATTAGGAAAAACTTTCTCACGAGGAAGGTACTAAAGCACTGGAACATGTTACCCAGATAGGTTGAGGTCTCTCCATTCTTGGAGATTTTTGAGACCTGGCTAGACAAAGTCTTGGCTGGGATGATCTAGTTGAGGATGGTCCTGCTTTGAGCAAGGATTAGAATGCTGCCAGCCTGCAAGGGGAAACCCGTGCTTTCGTGGGTTTTTCTGGGGACTTGCTTGCAACCCTTTCAAATATTCTAGGCTCACTTTTGGGGTGCAACCCACCAGCTGAGAAATGCTGTTTCAAGAAGGACCTCTTAAAGGTGCAGGAGCAAGCTATCCTTATATGATGGAAGAATGGAAAGTGCAACAGGAGAGCAGCCTGACTAGAGAAAAGCCTGAAATATTTAATGTCTTATTTACTTCAGTCTTCACAAATAGGGGTACCTACCAGATAATGAGTACAATGAGATTACAGGGGGATTACAGTGAACCTTAAACTGAATGGGAGCTAGCAGTGTGCTCTTGTTGCAAAAAAGAACAACAGCATGCTGGGTTGTATTGCAAATCAAGAGAAGTGAGGGGAGTGGCATTTTAATTAGGGTGAACTAAAGCACCGCAGCATCTTGTGCATCAGTGTCCCCATCCTTCAAAATAGTGGTGGGGATGCTTGAACTCAAGCTCGTTTCACAAGCTTTAGTTCAAGCACCTCTGCTGCCATTTTGAAGTATGGGGATGCTGATACATGAGATGTGGGAGGCTGCTGGAGTGCAGTAATTACCCCTCTCCAGCAGACTCGATTAATCAAGTCTGCTCCAATGCTCTGTAATTATAGTGTGTTAGAGCAACCTCTGCTCTCATGTACAGGCACCCTTCCGGGCCTACTTTCCTTTGATCCTAAGTAATGTCTTAAGTATCATTATTTTTATATTCTACCTACAGTGATTATTTGTTTCTCCATTACTGTAGTATCTGAGCAGCTCATATTTTAATGCATTTGTCCTCAGCACCACCTTTTAACTAGGGAAGTGCTATAATTTTCTTACAGTTTGGAAACAAAGGCACAAGGAGACCTAGTGATTTGACAAGGTCACACAGGAAATCGGTGGCAGTGTTGGGAATTGAACTCTAGTGCCCTAATTGCTGGAATTCTCCTATTGCTGGTCTTATTGCTTTAAGGTGTCTTTGGTAAATCTCTCCCATACCTATGCACACAGTTAAAACTCTTGAGTAGGGTATAAATTACTTTAAAGGATTTGGAGAATAATTGTTTTGATTAGTTGCTCCATGGGCTCTGATTCGCATTGTATTTATAGCTAGTTATGTACTATATCTTTTATATGGCATAGAATGAAATATAAATCGGGATCCCAGATGTAAGTTTTTCCTTGCTCAGTATATCAATAATTCTTATGTATTGAGCCTGAGCATAATGTTGACATGTTTTTGGAAACCTGAGGCATGATTCTGAAATAATTTATACAAGTGTAAATCAGGCATGACACTGAAGCCAGTGTAGTTATACAAACATAAAACAATTGTGAAATTGTAACATCCTTGTGCCCCAGCCAGTGAGCTTTGGATATGTCCTAAAAACTTTACAGATGTATGTGGGAGACAAGGTCCCTACCTTGAATGATATATCCCTAGAAGGAAGAAGCAGAAAGCAAAGCAGTTGGTAGGTGATGCAAACCATGGACATATTCAGCTCTCTTTACTTTCTGAGATGGATGTATGTATTTGAAAATATTCTTATGCAAATTGGTAGTCCAGTGTATTTTCAGAAACTCTGGAGTCTCATCCTTTTCTTCTAAAAGTCTCCTCCTTTCTTGGATAGCTTGCCCTTCAGGAACTTACAAGCCAGAAGGCTCACCAGGTGGAATTAACACTTGCATCTCATGCCCTGATGAGAACCATACTTCTCTACCAGGAAGTACCTCCATTGAGGACTGTGTCTGTAGAGAGGGGTATCGTGCTGCAGGACAAACCTGTGAAGGTAAGTCTTTCCAGTAGAGATCATGAATAGCCATATAAGGCACAGAATGACACTTATACCCAGAAATTCTTATTGTTGTTGTCTATTTCACTGTGAATGAAATATCAAGGCATAGGTGGATTTTACTATACATTCACTTAAAAGCCTGGATGCTGTGATATAAAAAGATATCCAGATCTAAGCAGCCATACAAGTTGGCAATAACAAGGATGCTTTCCTTTATTTAGCAGTTGGATTCCACCCATCACCTCTAACCCTATGCTTCTATAATTGATTAGTTGTCCACTGCCCTGAACTGAAGCCCCCTGAAAATGGCTATTTTATCCAGAACGTCTGCAACAACTACTTCAATGCTGCCTGTGGAATCCGATGCAAAGCAGGGTTTGATCTAGTGGGAAGCAGCATACGACTTTGTCAGCCAAGTGGCCTGTGGTCTGGTTCAGAAGCCACTTGCAGAGGTAGGAATGACATTTGTTTAGAAATATCTTTTGACATGAGTTGTCTTTTTTATGATGTTTGGGGCTGCTTTTTGTCTTACTTTTGCTGGTTTATGGTCAGTTCACTCTAAACCTCAAGTGACAGAATATTTAAAAGGGAATCCCTATGATGTGCATTTTGTTTTCCAGTCTACTAAAACAGAGGAAGAAAACCCTCAGGAAAAAAATGCAGAGTGATATTTTCTATAATCAAACACTTGGAAAAGGTCCATTCTGTCCTCTCTTGCATCCCCTGTCCTGCAAGGACGTGTACTACACGATGTGAGGTCTTTGCAGTGTTGGTTTGTCAAAACCTCCATGTGGGAGTCATGTTGGCACAAATGAATGTTGACATTGGAATTTGGTGGCAGAAACACGCAAGATGAATCTGCCTTGCAAGTTTCTGATTTGTAGTTTGGGGCTTATTATGGAAATGAAAAGAAAAGATGGGGAAACTCTGGGTCCTGTTTATTGTCCCAGAAGAATTTTGAGGGCACTTCCACCAGGGAGAGACTGACAATTTCCCTGATGCTGTGGGCAAGGGAATGGCAACCGGAAAGGAAAGAAACAGCAGGCCTAGGAAGCACAGTCAGAAACGGGGAAGGGTGTGAATAAAGGCATTTCTCTACAACAGCTCTAGAAGGTCTCTATTATGTACAGAAGAGTATTGTACTTTCTTTTTGGTGTGACCTAACTCCACTCCAGTGGCATTAATGCGTATGCAGAGCACACTAGAGAACTGTGCAGTTCTTGAAAGGAAGCTGAATCTGACCTCTTTCAAGCAGTCTACTCATGTACTGAAACTGCCTTTCTCCTCTGCATAGGGACAAGGAAACTAACAGTGTTTCCCTAGTCTCCATATAGTTGGCATCTGCCCCATAGTGGCTGGTATACGCACATCAGTCACAAGGTGGGGGACAAGATGAGTGGTACAGCCAAGGGTAAGTGACAGAGCTAGAGAGCAGCCACTCCTGAGGCCATACTCACCTGGTAGCCTACCTTATCCTACCTAGCAATTTGCTTCACAAAGATTGCAGAACTTAATCAAATTCCAGTAACCTCCAGAAGGAGGATGAGGAAGTAAGTTTGAGAGTGGAGTATGGCCATGTCTTTCCAGCAAACTGAGTGCTGATGAAATAGTTTGGCAATCCAGCTGTGTGTGCACTAGGGTGTTGGGAGATCATATGTTCATGATAGAAGTTCTTTTACAAAGTAATCTGAGGAATGATACATCTGGCATGTGCTTGCCATGAAAGGGTAAAGGAATGGCTAGTCCATTTGCTCTTGAACCATCTACACTGCTGTAGACTTCACAGAGAAGACAAGGAATCTAGCACATGGAAAGCATAGAAATCCCTTTTGGGGAAATGAAAGGATATTTTGTCTATTGTTTGTTGTCTGAGGGAGGTCACCTTATTTTTTTCTTCAAGGTTTTATGTTTTCCTTTCAATGAATAATTTGACTTTTCAAGAGAGTGGCAAAAAGGTTAGTTCTCTGCCTTGAGCTGTTATCGTCATGTTGTCTTAATTTCCTTTGAAGCATCCAAGGATATCCTTTTACGTTTTTTCTGCTACGGTGAATCATGCTGAAGTTTCTGTATTAAAAAAGATAGAGCCTTAGCATATGCGGTGTCTGCTTTTCTTCATTCATACAGTAAACCACACTATAAAAGAGAACAAGATCAAAGAGCTCGGTTCATGGCTGTCATGTTAATCCCAGCAGTATTTTATCATATAAATTAGGAAAGGACAGTGAAAGGATTCTAATCCCTTTACAGGCTGCTCATTTTGGTGGTAAACATTCAAGCATTTTGGTGCGTTTGCTTTGCTAGCTGAAATGTGTTGTGTGTGATAAGTGATGCTTAGACTCATTAGAACACCTTCAGTAACTAGTAGCGGCTGATAGAAAACAAGACAGTATCCAAATAGCAAAATGACTTGGATTCAGGAAATATATTTATAATTATGATGCCAACAGAATATTTTTATTTGAATTCATGGGGATATTTCATGTTTGTGAAAAAATGCCTAATTAATGACCTGACAAAAAAATGTTCTTCTGGGGGAAGGCGCGTTAATAAATGTGTCATGTGTCCAGTTCCCCTGCCTACATACTTCTTTCATGCCAGCTGATGACCAGACCTGATGAGAGGTAGAAATGGACACATGGCATGCTACATGATTTGTAGCAACGGTTGCCTGACGAGCATTTCCCCAGTGCTCCTACATTTATCTAGGCTCTGTCAGCCATGCCTCATTCTATACTCTGCCAAAACCCATGTGCTACAACTTTGGCCACAGTAGAAACCACAATACACTATAACTGATTCTCAACTGAGCTGTTGCAATATTTCAAGGTTCTGTGAGATCCTTTGAAGGATGCCTCAAGATGCAAACAGGTAAACACAGGCTCATCCCTGCCCAGCCACTCCTCCTCATCCCCTTCCTACACTGCCTTGCTCCTGAGCAAGGGGGGAAGCACTGTGATAAATTAGTTTTTGAAATGGGGTGCCACATAATTCACAAAAGTTGTGGAGAGGTGCCTTAAGTCTCAAAAGGCTGAGAATTACTGCCCTACAAGTATGAAAATATACTGTAGTACACTACTACATCAGTTTGCACCAGATTTTGGTAAGTGTACCCTTCTCAGTGCAGTAAGGTAAAGAGTAGTAGAAAATGGATGTGAAGTGCAGTCCTTTCTTTCATTTACTAGAAACCTAATGGACTAGTAAGTTTCCATATCTCTCTGACACCGGCATGTGTGTCTGTGAGGGGAGAAAAAGGAAAGCAATATCCTGCAGCTGAACTTTCAACATTATCCATAAAATGTTGGCAGTACTGGATTGCCGTTCCTTATCCTTTGGTAAACAGCTTTATTTCCCACACCCCAACATTTTAATATCAGTCTCTTTCAAAAAGAATTTTTTTATATATATTTATCTTTATGGCATTTGTATTCCTTAAGATTTTTACATCTGGTTTTCGTTTGGTTAATAACTGAGGAACTTTGTTCACTGATTGGTTTTAAGAAGACATGCAATCTGTTGGGCCAACATGTGCAATTATATATATGTACTTTCTCATCAATATGTGCAATAAACAACTACTGAGAAGAGAAAAGATTGCTGCCAAGTTGGCTTAAGTCTGAAATATTTTTGGAAAGAAAGTGAGTGGTTTGCCTCCTATGCTGGCGGGGGGTTAGCTGGTGAAATCAACATTCTTAACCACAGAATAAAAACTCACCCCAGACTCTGCAGTCATATTCCATTAAAGGCTCAACCCTTCACCATTGCAGTCAGTAGAAAGACACGGAAAAGGGTCTGGCTATTAAAAGGTAACAGTCTCCATCATTCTGGAGAATGACAGTCTACATCATTTTTATCCAGTTGTTGCTGTTTACTTGTACTGCTACTTCATTCATTAGAAAAGACTGATGCAGTACATTAAAGTTGCAAGTTCTTACAGAGTTGATTTTAATCTATCTAGGTCAGGGGGACAGGTAGGGAGGCAAGAAAACGTACAGACTGCAGACTGAATCCAGCCTGGAAAGCCACGTCAACCAGCCCTGGGTGCTAGCCCCATGCAGTGACAGTCTGGGACCTCCTCAGCCTGATGTGTCAAATCTAGCACCTGTGGCTTTGGCCAATCTGAGATGCAAGCTGCATGTGGTGCCTGTTCCAGCTGGTCCAGGGATCATGGGTCACAGGGGAAGCATTGCATGCAGTGCTGTCCTGAACTGGCCAGTCAGGCAGTGGATCTGGTAGGCTCTGTGAGTCTCCTGCATGCTGGATCTGATGTCCTCTCTGGCTGGTCTGTGCCTCATGAAGCACCAGCTCGAGCCAGTCTGGGACCTGTCATGCATGCAGCATCCACCCCGACCATATGCTGTGAGTGTTGCATGTGGTTCACATCCCAATCTAGCCAGTGCGGGAGCTGCATGCAGCTCATGTCCCAATTTGGCCAGAACAGGTTCCTCTGGGTGCTGGATTTAGTATGGAGGGTGAGTGATGGGGGTGTCATGCCTTCACTTGATCTGGTCTGTGGGGCTGGCTCCGTGCTGTTCATTCAGTCGGTAGACTGCTTCCAGGCCACACATCTAGCTTGCAGAATCAAGTTAATTTGACACCCCTGATCTAGGTAATTTATGTTAGGATATAGCATTAGAAATTCAGCAAGAACAAAAAGTATTATACTCAGCCAAAACTAACGTATTCTCCCCAGTGAGCATCACTCCCCCAGCAAACTAAACACATTGTCTTACTTGTATAGCCTTAAACAGGGAACCTTACTGAACAGAAATTAACCTGGATTTTGTAGTGGTCTCTGATTTTTGGGTGCCTAACTCAGGCCTTTTCAAAGTGTCTCAGACCTTTGAAAATTGCCCCAACTTGACCAGCTAAATTTACTAGTCACTTTCGAAACCCTGTATTAACCTGAATTACCAGTGTGTTGTTTTTAATGTATTCACTTCCATGAAAAAGGCCTTTTAAAGTGATATTTAAGCTTATTGTGGTATTCTTCTGATTGATGGTTTAAAACTTAAAATATACTTGTTTTACACTTTGCAGTACAAAAATGTCCAAAACTTCATGGGCCTGATAATGGACATATTAATTGTTCATCGAGTGATATCTCCTACAAGACTGTGTGTTTTGTGACCTGTAACGAGGGCTTTGAACTGGAAGGAAATGCCAAACTCACCTGTCAAGGAAACTCTCAGTGGGACTGGAAGGAACCAAAGTGTCTGGGTATGTTTTTGGGTTTTTTGAGGGTGGGTTGTCATTATATGTCTGTTCATCTAGGTCTCCTCTACATGTTACATTTATGCTATGACTAATGTGTTCTACATATAATGAAGATTTTTATGACTGGTTTGAATGGCACCTTAAATTGAACACGTGGCACGTCTAGGGCCAGGGTTGACAGTCAGCTGATTGTCTACTTCTGCCCTAGGGCCATCAGTCGACTGATTGTTTTCCCCAGCCCCAGGGTCGAACCAGGTTCAGTTCAAGACCTAGGTGTAGTCCTGTAGCTGAAACCAGCTTTCAAATTGCTGGTGCAGGTGGAACCAATGATTCCAGGCTCTCACTGCGTTGGCACAATTGGGATCTGATCCGCAATCCCAAAATCTTGCCTCCTGTGTGACACACACGTGGCATGGCAGGACTCATGACTGTTGGGGATGGGGATTAAATCCCATGGCATCTGTAGATAAACATGGGCTATGGACCCTGGAATGCTTCATTGACAGAATATTTAATTTATAGTAAGCAACTCTGCCTCTTCCATTCTCTTTGATGAATATGGAGCTAAAGAAAGAACAATGATCTCTGTGTCCGTGTACCTTATAATGTATTTTGCAAGGTAGATTGAGGTGAGATTGGTAGAAAGATAAAGAAATTTTGATGTCCACGTTGCTTGTTGATACCTAACACAAACAGGTAACAAGTAAAATTTGCTACTGCCTGGTAGCTGTTAGCCAGCCTATACAAAATTAATTGGTGATCACAGTCCAGTTTCCAGTAGAGAAAGCTAACACAGAAGAGAGCACAGGAGTTAAATAAGCAGGGAGACTGAGCTCTCAAAGCTAGAGAAGAATCAACCAGCTAAAGTTTGAGTCTTGTTGGCCAAGTGAAGCCTGGCATACTTGGTGCAGTGGTGTGCAGAAGTTTACATTGCTGTGGCTACACCATATCTGTTGTGTATATAAGAAAGTACTTCTGAATCCAGGAGTGTCTGTTCATCACTTCTAATGAGTAAATTCACAGAAAATTTTATTCACTAAAGTGTGCATGCATGTATGCGTATGTATGTTTAGCTCCAACAAATTGAAATTCAGAGATTGTGAACATAAAACCCAACATTTCAGAAGCTGGAAATATATGCCCCTAGAAATTTAAGGTGGAGTTAATATCACTCGCACTAAACATGTCAGGTCCTTAGATATAGAAGTGATTTATATTGCGCCTTTAATTATTTATAACTTAAGAACACCGGGCACAAAATTTTGACCATCCTAGGAAATAGATTAAAATTGGTCCTAGGTATAAATACATGCTTTTAAAACATCTTTAAAATAATTCAAAATGTATTTGAATTGGGTACATTGGGTGCCCAATTTTGCCTCCATTGAATGCAATGCGAAAACTTCAATTAACATTAAAAAGATTAGGACTGGGCCAAGAATACTATTGGAGGATTGTTATATAAGGATTTACCATAGTCATTAGTTAAAAATCTTGGCTTAATTTTTTAAACATTATGATTTAGTGCCATTACATATCAAAAGGCTGCCTCATGCTGTACAGTATTTGACTTTTCTTAATTGGGTGAGTTATGTGAAAGTTTCAAAGTTAATGACAGCAAAGTTTACTTCTGTTCTTCCCAGAAATCTAGTGTAAGAGTTATCTTTGATTGTCCCAAAGCAACAAGTGTTAGCTGAAAAAATATGTGCTCACTTCTGCTGACGCTGCAGTCAAAGCAAACTTTCATTGACTCCTGCTGACAGAATGTAGAGATGTGAAAGTCCATGCATGGGCTTATTGCAGGGGCATAAAGATGCAAGCCAGGTAGAGACAGACAACTCCTTGATGGCATGTTCGTAAACTATTATGCTGCTTAGCACTGGTCACAATAATTGTCCTCTCTATTAAAAAATTGCACCTAAAATCTGAATTTTATCACCTTAGCTTTCAGGCATAAACCCTTATTGTGCTTTTTTTTCCCTGCAAGAACAAAGAGCTGTATATAACCAGAAATCCTTTTCCATGACAGTATTTTTAGCCTGTGATCAAGGCATTTCTTAACCTTCTCTTGGATAAAGTAAATGGAATCAGCTGCACTTTTCTCACTGTAAGGCACATTTTCTAGACATCAGATATTCTTTGGTGTTCTTGGATATTCATGGGTGTTCTAAAGTCTTCACAGTACCTTCTGTAGAGTCTCTAAGGCCATGGACAAGTATTATGTTTGTAGTGCTAAATATGCCTTGGTAGTGCAACCAAAAGCAAGCATATAGCCGTTCAAGCTGTTTATAGGACTACAAAGATGCTTAAAGTTCTACAAAATACTAGTGATTACAAAGAGGAACTTCCTGGTTTTGTAGCACTGTGCATAACACCTGTACAGTTTACACATAGCACTACAGGGGTCTCTAGGACCCCTAGCATCCACCATCCACTGCTCTCTCTCTTCCCCTCCAAGGGGGAAGCTGGGAGGGAAAGCAGTTAGCTCCTTGGTCGCCTGTCCAGTAGCGCGCTGTCAAGGAGCCCTGCTTGGGACCCTGCTGCTGCCACAGCCACTGTGGCCAGCAGAGATCAGCTTGACTAGGTAGGGAGAGGGTCCCGCACAGCTACGCAGTGTTTTGGTGTGACAGCCACCATGAGAAGCCCAGAAAGAGCTAGTGTTTTGGCCATGGGGTTAGGGCTCCCCCAAAATGGCCTTGTGGCTGGCAGAGCACAGGCTCTTGCCAGCAAGAGCCCATGCTGTGGCAGCTCCAGCAGTGTTACTGAGGCCTTGCAGGCAGCCCTACCGGCTGTTGCCACCCTGCCAGGTTACCAGTGATAGCAACAGCTGGTCAGAGAGTGACAGTGCAGGGGGTGATGCCACGTGGAAGCTGAAGCAGCAGCGAGACAGCTCCAGTTACCTCACTTAACAAGTTTCTGTGGGGGCAGGGGGAACAAAGGAGAAGCACCAAGTCATCACCTGGCTGGAGAGGGCCTTTGAGGTGACTTCGTAGCTCTCTGGCCAAGGGTATCGAAAGTCTGTATGCCTCCATAGTGCCATGTTTTCCTGGTGCCAAAAGATGCTGAGACACTTTGTATCGCTACAAATGAACATCTGTCCCTTCCCTAAATTACATCACCTGTTGAATCCATTAGGCTTTTTGCGTGAGGCAGAAGTGCATGCAAGCACCTGTTATGTGTATTTTAGTTATGTAACTTTTGTTGAAGATGCTCTTTGTAAAAGTTGCCTTGGAGAACATTACTTTACAAGGTATCTGAGAGAGAGAGAGATTTTGGAATTTATCTCATTTGCAAAAAAATAAGTGTTAATTGTATTCCACTGATGGATGGCTTATTGCCAGCATATTAGGTTGAATGGATATTGTCAAATGTTAGCCTCCTCGCAGTATTAATCTCTGCTTTACTTAGTCTATAACAGTGATTCTCAACCTTTGTAGACTTAAGGCACCCCTCCTTAGAGTTAAAGCACCCCTTGGAAAATGTCAGCTCTTAGTCTTCACTCGTTTTTGACTACAGAAAAAACAACAGAACAATTCTTCTGTTGCAAAGAACTTGGGTTACAACAGGTCAGAATGTACTTAATGCTGTGAATTCCTATTTGAAATCTCAGACTATTTTGCAAATCATGTTTGAACACCTAACAGTGCTAACATTGTGTGGCACCATGGGGCACTCAGACTCTTTAAAGGATCTCAAGCACCCCAGGGTGCAGTGGCAACCTAGTTGAGTATCACGGGTCTGTAAGGTGCAAATCTGTCCTGTCTTTTACCTGAATTCAGAGTATCGTGGCTAATTACTCTTTAGAAGACAAGTGCAAGACTAGTTGGCATTAATGCCAAGGGCACTGATGCCATCTAGTGTTGAAAGAAGCAGTGTGTCCTTTTAAAATTTGTTTCATCCTTCAAGTTGTTGGGTTTAGCAAGCAAAAGATGGGGGTTGAGAGAGAAAAATTAATAATGTATTCTGCAGTGTTTTCTTTTGTCCATTTTCTTGAAATTCACTTCCTTGTTTATGAATTGTATAGTGTGCTTAATTGATCACAGTCAACTTTACTTGCTACCTTTTTATTTTACAAATGAGGTGTGATTCTGCTCTCTCTCTGAAGTATTTTAACCCTGGATCTCTACTAACTGGTATAACTGACATCAAATTCTGACCCATACACTGCAAGATTATTTTATATATTTCTTCACATTACTGTAAGTAGACTCAGAAGTCTAAATTCTGCTCCCAGTTACACTATTGTATTGGAACTGGGACTAGCTTCCCAGATCAAGGACAACAAGAAGTCCTTCTTTAAATACATAGGGGGCAAAAAGAAGGTTCCGGGTAATGTGGGGCTCCTGCAAGACACTCTAGGAAATTTGGTCATCACACCAGATGAAAAAGCCAACATATTTAATGATTTCTTTGCCTCCATTTTCCTAAGCAGGGACCAGAACAGTCACCCTCCTGCTGGGCCCCCCTTAAACTCCAGGGGAGACACACCTAGGCCAAGGGTTAGTGAGGAACTAGTTAGGGAACTTCTGGAAGGACTAGATGTATTCAAATCAGCTGGTCCGGACGATCTCCACCCTCGAGTGCTGAGGGAATTAGCTGAGGTCATTGCGAGACCCCTGGCACAGCTTTACAAGCACTTGTGGTGCTCTGGTATGGTGCCAGAGGACTGGAAGAGGGCCAGCGTGGTTCCTATCTTCAAAAAGGGGAAGAAGGAGGACCCGGGAAACTATAGGCCAGTTAGTTTTACCTGGATCCTGGGCAAGCTTTTTGAGAAAATTATTCTGGCGCATATCCACGAGGGGCCAGCACGGGAGATTA